ATCGCGTTTTTAGATCATTTCTTCTTTGCACAAATCACTGCTCTACTGACATGACATTTGTAAAACTTAAGTTAGATGTGGGTTCTTCAACTCTCCAGTACAGGAGATGAGGAGAAAAAGCTGAACCTAACTGGTGGTGTTCTTTCATCCACACCTTCTCTTTGGAAACACATGACCAAATTTCTCCCCATCAAGACCTCAAAATCTACTCTTAGGTATTAACTTGTTTTACTTGTCCTGCTGTCCCTTTTCTAGATAGCAGCCACTGGTCTCTACAGCAGGGTGAAGACAGAACCGCTTTCATTTGCGGAAGAAATTATTGCTGGAGACCTCACCTTTGATAACTGGCTTTCTACTGAGATTGCATAATTTCACAGAAAATTAGTACCTACACCTGCAAAGCTGCGGCTTTTCCACCTCCATTTATCATCTTTCAAGACTCCTTAAAGAAGGAAATTATCAATTTATCATTCTGCAGAGGCAATGGAATGCCTCTAGTATTTGTCATCTGTAAGAGAGCTTAAAGATGACGTGCTAGCTTTCTGGAAATGTTGGCCATTACTTTAAATGGAATTGAAATTCTAATTTATTATTTCCCACAATACAATCTTAGTGATAATAGGAGAATGTATCAGAGCTTTTTTTTTTTTTTTTTTTTTTTTTTTTTTTTTTCACCTTTGAGGACACATTTCCCCTGAAGCCCACAGTACCCTGGACTCACAGAGATCCTGGCAGGCTGTTCTCACCCATCACGGCATAGTCACCCTCACGATCAGCCAGGGACGAAGAGGCAGCTCTCTTGTTGGCCGTGACCTTTGCTCCCTGTATTGTAAGGACTGGAGGAGAGAGGCGTCCAGCTCTGCAGTCCCAGAGAGCTGCCAGAGGACAGTCATGAGTGTGCAATGTCTAGCACATTACAAATGTTTGTTAATTGACTGGTAATTCATTGTGTGACAGCTCTATAACTCAGCTATCCTTTTCAGTCAGGGATTAACTCAGTAATCAGTCATTAAAGGGGGAAATAAATATTACAGTACCAGCCAGATGGCAGGGCAATCAAACACATAAAGGAAAATGGCTGGTCTCTGGGTAAGACGCATGACAGCAAAACGTGGGTCCTGTGCCTGGTTACGTCCCAAATTCTAGCTGGAGCACGTCTTGGCAGGCTTTCCTACATCTAATGTACTCGAACCTTCCTCATGAGCAGGAGCAGTGTTGGTCAGACAAACACGTGAGGCATCTGTCCAAAGGGCCCCGGCTGAGTTGGGACTCCTGGGGAACATGGATAGCTGGGAAAAGGAAGAAGGAAGCACGCAGGCCTGATCCTAACATTTGTGAGGCCTTGAGCAAGACTATTAATGACAGTCCACATACCACATGTCTGAACATTTGAAAGTCATAAGCTAATAAACTATTCAATGAGACATGCTCTATCCTTCTGCCTTGACAACATCTCTCCATAAGGACCTGGAAGGCCACATTCACATTTAAAATTCTGGACCTGAATGCGGTGACAGAGAAGAGCTGGCCCCTGTCTGTCCACTTCCCTCCTCTTGCTTGGTTCTATCCACACTGCAAAGGGCCCCACGTGTACACTCTACTGTGTATCTGAGCTCTGACTGCACCCTCACAGTAGCTGTTCCTTGGCCATCTTCAGGCCTCAGGGCTGTGCAACACCAGCCACAAAGTCTGCCCTTAGAGCGACTGCTCCAAAGAAGACAGATACCCATGCAGCCCTGGAAATGCACTCAGGGCCGTTTGGGGAGGGAAGTCCCAGGTCCCAGGAGCACGAGCTAGAATGTGGGTGAGGGACTCAAGATGGGCTCATCCCATTGACCCTCACCGGAGGGTGAGGAAGGGTCTTTCTAGAAGAGAGAGAGCAGCACCCTCTAAATGTGGGACCCAGAGCAAGGAGCCCCCTTGCTGGGGACTAAGGGCCATATTGGAAAAGTGCTAAGCCCTATTCCCACCATCACCCCCATCCCTTACACACCTCTCCCCGTGTGCCTGGCATCCAGGCCACAAAGAGAAGATATGTTTCATGTGTATCTTTTGGTCCATAGGTTGTAGTTATCCTTGGTCCCACATCTCTTTTAGAGCCATGGACAGAGAGAAGCAAAGATACCCTAACATCACAGTAAGTTGTTTCCCTTCACATCTCTTCACAGTCACAGGGTTGGCAAAAATTCAAGCGAGGTTATTGTGCTCCGACTCTGAAATGACAAAGTTGACCCCATGGTTAACTCCAGAATCCAGAACAGAATCTCAGACCATCCTCTCAACTACTGGACCATGCGCTCTGTTTTGGGAGCTTGCATGCTTGGATGACTAGCTATGGTGAAAGGCTGCGAGTCTTAAGATACCCCAAGCAACCTTTACTTCAGGAATTTGAAATGCAGTCTCACTATGATGCTGTCGCCCTAACAAAGTAATACCTCTAAAATATTTAACAACTCGAAAAGGAAACCTAGCTTGAATTTTCCTTTCAAGCAGGAAGGAAATAACAGTGTTTCGCTTCTGTCTGAAATTCACCATCTCCTCAGACAAAGAAAGTTCTTCTGGTAAAAGCAATGGCATTTTCTCCACAATTTTCAAATGAAAGATAAAGAGAAAACAGCATTGCAGCCTTTTTGTTGGATCTAACAAGAAAGGAATAATACGATTTTGCCAGGGGAGAGCTCTGGTTTTAAGCTCCGAATACAAAAATAGGCTGACGAATTTTACAAGGGAATACTCTCAACTACTGCGCTGAGGCTGGCGAGAAGTGAAGTTTCAAGAGAACTGCATCATTTGATTATTTGGGGGTATATTACGATGATGATCAAGTGGATGGGCCAGCCCTATGCAAAATTCTAAAATGAAAGAAATGGGATAGCTCCTTCCCTGCTCACCCCACCCTTCACCTCTTACTCCCACAAGATCCTGTCTCTACGTCGATCCCAATGCAAACCCGACCTTTGGAAAAGGAATGGGGGCCATCATTTGCATTATAGCTCCTCATGTCCAGACCACTCCCCACACCGGTCCAGCCTCCCTTTGCTCAGCCAACTTTTCCTACAGCTACTTCCAAGGAACCTTCCATGATGCTGCCCACCCTCTCAGTAATAGCCACCTGTACCTCCCTTGCTATTACACTCACTGAAATCGGTTTACAATTGTCTTATGTGTGTTCCCTACCCTATTCTATTCTCTGTTAGAGCAGAAACCATATGTATTTTCTTTAACGTTTACATATCCACCATTATCCCTGAGCTTGGCACATAGCACGCCGAGTGGAATCAATGAATGAGTGAATTAATGAATGGGTACTGAAGCCAGTATATTGCTGCTCCCAGGGTATCTGAATAAACTTTAACTGAAGGGCAAAAAGCACTTACCCATTCTAAAGGAGTCAAAAACCTAATGGGAGAGTAATTGGAGGAACAAGAGCCTGTACTATATTCTTTTGGGGGGCTTATCCGAAACAGTCAGGGGTTTTTGGTGTGTGGTGGGGTGGGGGTGGGGGGTAAGGGATTGTGGCAAGGACTTGCGAGATGAAAAGAGTACATAAAAAGCGTAGGAATAGCTACCGATTAGTAAGCATTTATGTGTGTCAATTCTAATGACAAGTGCGAATCGTGCATCATCTCCATTATTCACATTTTAGAGATGAGAAAATTGAGACTTGGAGATTAAAATTGCCTAATTTCACAGAGTAAGTGGAGGAATCAGGGTCCGAATCCAAACTGGTTTGACCCAAGTTAGAAGACCATCTCAGCAAGTCTCCTATTAACTCGACCCCCACCGAGGTGGCCTGGGATGCAACACTAGCTGTGGAAGGCCTGGGCACCTTGTTATCCACTTGCCACCTGCTTCTGTCCTCTGTGCCACCCACCCATCTGGGGGTCTCCCATTCTCCATCTTCAGGGAGAGGGCCTCTCAGAACTTCCAGGCACCACTTAGTATGGAGTGCCCCTGTCCTGCAGGGAGATCACCCACACCACAGCTGCACCTTTAAGATTAGATTAGGCTACCAATGAGTAGTACATGAGGGAAAAATAATAATAGTGGATTAAACAAAATAGATATTTATTTTTCTTCCACATAAAAACCTAGAGTTTGAAGTCTAGGGTTGGCCTGGTAGCTCCAGGTGTCTGAAATCCATTCTCCTCCATTCTTGTTTTTCTATAGTACATGGCTTCCATTTCTGAGGCCACCTGGTCCAAAATGTCTGCTGGAGCTCCAGCCATTGCATCCATATTTCAGCTACAGGAAGGAGGAAGGGGGAGAAGACAGGGCAGCCATCTGATACATGCATACTTCAAGGAAACTCTCCTGCCCTCACCCCGCCCCTCTCAACCAAACAGTGAGGCCTTTATTCAAGGCAGCCACACACACCCAGGTAAAAATCCCGAGTTTTGTTAGACACAAGGAGAACAGATACTGTCGCTTCAATGCTTTATGTATGGCTCCCTTTGCTCAGGGACTCCTCTGGGCAGCCGTGGCCAGGTGGGAGCTGGAGGAGAGAGGAGCCCTTCTGAGGGAGAGGTCATGGAACTCTTCTGAAGGAAGCCCTAGGCCCTTTCATAAGGGGGCTGCATGGCTGGAATTTTTTCTGCATGGTCTGTGAAGTACAGAGAAATTTGTTCTCTTAAAGCCACATCACAGCAGTGGCTGCTTTGTAGCTGGATCCCACCATTGTGCTTTGAAGGTGCCCAGCCAGCCATTCAGCCCACTCATCACACAGAGAGGAACATCTCTCAGTCTTGGTGACATCAGCTAGATTCTACCCTCCCCACCTCCACCATATCTTCTTTGCTCACGGACATAACTCAGGCCCCCCGCCCATCACTTGGAGAATCAGGCTCATGATTACAAATGTGAAATGCTATATTTTTGGAGAAGGATGCCAACGAGGGTGATGGTAAAGGCTTTCTTTAGTTTCCACACTGACCCTCTTCCCTGCCCCTTACAATCGGGAAATATTTGTGACAACACATTGTTTGCTCCTTCTGTTGCAGGCTCCTGTGGCTGTCTTGTCATGATACTGTTTGCCTCTGAAGTGAAAATCCACCACCTCTCAGAAAAAATTGCAAATGATAAAGAAGGGACTTACGCCTACAAAACGCAAAGTGAAAAATACACCGCTTCGTTCTGGGTTGTTTTCATTTGCTTTTTTGTTCATTTTTTGAATGGGCTCTTAATACGACTTGCTGGATTTCAGTTTCCTTTTGCAAAATCTAAAGACACGGAGACAACCAATGTAGCTGCAGATCTAATGTACTGAAAGGCAACTATTCCTGTGATCTGCCAAGTAAGGGAGTCGACTTGCTCTGGTCACTTGGAAATGGTTAATTTTGTCCGTCCTTTCAGATGCACAAATGAAAGCATCCAAGCCCTCCGTGGCAATGTTTACAGATGAGGTACTAAGGATACAGGCTCAGTAAGGGGAGCAGAAGGAAGGTTTGAGAAGGTTGTTTTACTTCATGGGAACTGCGTGCTTAAAGCTCTTGACTAGAAGGGACAAATTGTTACCCTATGTACGCATCAAAGTGTAAAATGCCTGCTCCATCAGGAAGGAATGAAAAGGCACAGGGACTATGTTTTAATACAAACAAATACGATTTCTGATACATCCACACATTTGTTGCCAGAGATACCAGGAAATAAAGCTGGAATCGCTTTCCTAAAATGATAGTGCACTAAGTGAGCATTGATGAAAAGTATCCACATGCTTTTTTTTTTTTTTTTTAAGTTCGTTTAAAGCACAGTCTTATTATCCATGCCTGTTGGTCAAAATTTGCAAACCTCTAAATGGAAAAAAAAAAAAAAAAAAGGCGGGTGGGGAAACACAGTACTTTAAACAGACATACTTGCTGGGACCACTGACGAATCATGCAAAATGACTCTTCTTAGTAAACTTAATGCAAATGACTCACTGGGGCTGTTGTTTCTAACTTTAGTGTCTTTAAGCACTAATTCCCACTTATGAAAATTACATTACATTCTGGGATTGTGATGGTATCACTACATCTCGGTTTTGGGCCTGGCTGTCACAAAGCATGACCCAAGCCCATTTTCTTTTTCCTGAATTACCCATGAAATTGACCTGCAGCTGACCAAAGACCACAAGTGAGTCCAAACAGACACTTCCTCTGTCCCTGACCTGCTGCCCTCAAGAAAGCACTCAGGAAGAAGCAGAGAATGACAGAGAATACACCACCAGGCCCCTCGCCACTGGGTACTTAGCCGCCATACAAGAGGTTCTGAAAGTGCTCACCTAAAAAAAAAATACTTTTTCCCTTTTGGAACAATTTACAAGAAACAAATGACTGCTTATATCCCTGATAAGCAACTTGCTCTGTTGGTGATCCGTGGCCCATAGGCTGACATCAGAATACACCTTTACTTTCCAGATGCCTGTCCCCACACCTTCATTCAGGAAATACACCCGGAGAATTTCTAGAAGACCACAAGTCAGTCTGGCAATGAAAGGATGTTAATTCTAGCTCAGGCTAGTGGAGTCCAGTGCTGGAAGTCTTCACGCAACAGTTAAACACAGAAGCCTCCGTAGCTGGGAGGGGGCAGGAAGGCCCAAGGACCTTCCCCACGCGGTAATTGGCCTGAGATCTTGGAAAGCCAGGCCCCCACATTCTCATTTGACCTCTCTCTCTTCTCAGAGGTTTGAAAAACTTCTAACACCACGCTTTCTTCAGGAAACAAGTCCCCAGTTGTTCTCTCTTCTGTAAAAAGAGAAAAGTCGGAGCAGCGGCTGAAAATCTAATGAGAACCTAATAGGCGAACTAACAATGGTCCCTGGATGGGAAGTCGAGGCAGGGCTGCTGGTCCCTGCAAATCATGCCACACACAAAAATAAAACAAGATACAATCTGGGCCCTCAGAAGAGTGCGCTTACATTGTGTCCCTTTCCTCTCTCCGATGAAATGTGTGGTTCCAGTGGCCTGTGACCCTTAGAAGAGGGATCTGGCCAGGACTCCTTTTGTGGCTCCCTCTATGGGGATCAAAGGCGCCGAAGAGTGACACTCATTATGCTGTGTCCGACCTCCCTCCCCAGGTGGCAGCCAGCATCCTCACATTCTCTCAGGGATGCGGGGCCCCCTGCTGGCTCTGGGGCTGCAAACACAGTTCCACGGTCTGTTGGTCGGTTTCCTTTCCACTTGTCTGCAGCCGCCCTCATCAGCTCGGAGAATACCCATGCTCATCACGCCGGGGTGGGGGTGGGGGGGGAGGAATGGGGAGGAGCTATGAAACCCGTCCCAAGTAGTTCGGGTACCCCCTGCAGTGAACGTGCAAGACACGTTCACGGCCATAGGAGGAAGCTTCGGGACTAAACAAGTGCAGACAGGGCGGGCTACAGGAGGAGGAGGGCACCTCACCTCTGTGCGCTTTCCACAAAGGTCTTTTGCTCTCATGGCCCCATCTGCTCCCTTAGAACAGCTGCTCTCTAGTCACTTCACAAGCATTCAGGGCGGATCAATCTGGCTGGTGGCTCACACATTACACAATCTTAGGGCGATTCCTCTCTTCTCCCTCTGCCCGTGTTTTTAGGGAGAGCCTGGTGGGGGGCTGCCCCCTCCCAACTCTGGTGGAGGGAGGATGGGTTCACCGGGGCAGTATCAGGGTGCACCAGCTTCGAGGGAAGCACGACTCGCCATTAGAACGGATATGGTCCGGACCATTTACTGATGGAAACCTGAGCAAGAGGCAAGGGAGAGACTCTGGGGGCCGGAAATCAGGGCGCTTTAACCTCTCTCTCAGTTGTCCCCAACTTCTCCCCTTCCAGCAAGATCCAGTACAGGTAAAAGTGTGGTTGTTACAGAAATGCTTCGTCAAGGCCAGTCCCAAGCCATCGGCCTGGTTTTTCTAATTCCCTTGCTGTCCCCCATCCTTCTATTTAGATGTTTGGATCCTGCACTGTGTGGGTGCTCAGTGTTTGATCTGGTGGCATACCAGTTCTCAACCCCTTTCAACATGGCAGTCGTTTCTGGATCAGGGGTGATGGCTGGTTCAACAGATAAGCCGCCTCCTCCAAGTGGCAAGGGACAAAGCAATGCTGGTCAGTTTAGAGAAACAGGTACCTGCTCCTTGAAACTAGAGAGAGAAAGACTGGGCAGGCGTGGGGCCCTGGCTTCTGGGATGAAGTTCCCCCTCAGGAAACACTTTCTTGCTCCTAAAAGTGCTACTGTAAATTTAATAAATGTATGCTCTGATTTACAGACTTCGTGACCATCCCTCCCCACCCCCCACCCCCACCCCCACCCCCACTCTCCCTTAGATAACATCTAAGTGTACATCTACAGATACATCTATAGTGTCCCTCCCAGAGCTGGGACTCACCAGCCTATTCGGAAAGGCTGAATGAGTCCGAGGCTGAGCAGACGACCTAAGTTAGAAATCGCCAGAGAGCGTTGCCTACAGAGCTTATCCGACAGTATTCGGCAGTGGTTGTAGAGACCCCGTGGGAATAGCCGTGCTGTGGTGAAAACCACCCAACAATGAAAAGGCAAGTGTCTCAAAGGATTATGTCTCTTTGCTAGAATCTTGGTGTAAGGGGCCTCGATGTGCTCTGAAACTGACCAGAACGGTAGATGTGTCCTTCCGCTGCGGGCCATGAGTCTAATTCTGGAGGAGAGTGAGACCCGGGGGGCTCCCACTAGCCTCTGTCCCCTCTGTCCTCCAGTTGGCGCAGTAAGCAGGTACACCAAGCGGTGGCCTGGGCGTCTCAAGTAATTCGGGCACCGGCCCTATGGGAACATGCGGTCTCGGTGCCCACAGGCGGCTCACCCCACACTTGCCACATCCCGGGTTCCGATTTGTCACTAACTGTACCTATGCAAAAAAGGGTCTCCTATCTAATTCGCAGGTATGGATTCCAGGATGCCACAGCTCACTAATTTGCACTTCAGTCGCTATCCTTCCATTTAGCCGAGTAGAATGAAGGATTGTGTCGGTTGCACATCCCAGGCCAGAAGCCCCTAGAGAAGCGGGCATGTACACTTAGTTCCCATCCCACAGGTGCTCTTTTCGTCCCACTCCTTTGCTGTCACTCTTTCCCCCTGATTCTCTGTGGCAGACAAATGCTACGTGTCCTCCCCCACATTCTTCGTAGGCACACAGCCGAACCACATTTCCCAGCCCACTTTGCGTTGCGGTCAAGTAAGTGAGTCTGGACGGATAGGGTATAGGCTGAAGTGACTCATGCCACTTTCAATCCTGGCACTGAAGAACATCCTACACCATCCTCCAGCTGTGTCCTTGCCCGGTGCTGTAGTCTCGGGGGTCATGGGATCCAGGCGGCGAGCCTACGAAACAGAGGCAGGCTTCAGGACCTGTACCGGAGTGTGACAAGACTGGTAAAGAAACTTCCTATAAAGCCACTGAGTTTGGATGGTTATTCGTTGCTGCAGCCTAGCTCACCTTGGCCAGGCCACCAAAGCTCTCTTTTCTAGCAAAGCTCTCCTGCTTCAAGCCAATGAAAGATTCTCCAGGCCTCTTCATTGGTAGCCTGGGGTCAGGAGCACCCTCCACCACCACCACTAGGTCCTGTCTGGCCACTGTCCCTTGTGAAGCTGTGACCCTGTGGCCATATTACCCACCACCAGCTGAAATGAAGACTTGAGAGTGAATTTTCTGCATAAATATCTAAAGAGGAAATGAACACTTTGCTTATGCCGATATCCTTCAGGATTCTTTCCAAACAATGATTAATAAACCCTTTTTCAATCATTCAAAACCATTTTTATCTCACATCTACAATGGATCTAGCTGTCTATGAGGCACTGAGGATTGTGGGGAGGAAATGTAAAAAGAATGAGAAAAAAACATTGAAAAAAATCCGTTGTTGAGAGAAGAATATCCATGAACACTCTCTATCCTTATTTTCTTTTCAAAGCTTCAATTTATTATTAAAGACAGAGTTTTAAGTTTGCCAGTAAAAAAAAACCCCAAGTAGTCCAATGATATCCCTTAACTACATTAATTACCAAAATTCAACAATTATCCTAGAGTTTCAATCTTCAGGGGCGCCTGGGTGGCGCAGTCGGTTAAGCGTCCGACTTCAGCCAGGTCACGATCTCGCGGTCCGTGAGTTCGAGCCCCGCGTCGGGCTCTGGGCTGATGGCTCAGAGCCTGGAGCCTGTTTCCCATTCTGTGTCTCCCTCTCTCTCTGCCCCTCCCCCGTTCATGTTCTGTCTCTCTCTGTCCCAAAAATAAATAAAAAAAGTTGAAAAAAAATTAAAAAAAAAAAATCTTCACAAAATGGTAAAC